ACTATTTTTTTATTTTTTTGTATTTATCGTGCATCTGTATAATTTAATTTTAAAATGTCTGTACTAATGTTACATTTAAATAAATGTTTAAATATTAATACATAATTTTAAATAAATAATTTTAGATAATAAAATAAATATTAACAATTTATTAATAAATATATTTATTTAGAGTAATAATAAAACATAAATATATTTTTATTTCTTTATTTCTTGTTTTGTGTGTGTGTGTGTGTGTGTGTGTGTGTGTGTGTGTGTGTGTGTGTGTGTGTGTGTGTGTGTGTGCATGCGTGTGTGTGCGTGTGTGTATTTCAGGAATCTGAAGGGACGTTGCCCAACTTACTGGTTCTGTGTGGAGATCACGGCATGTCTGAAACCGGAAGCCACGGCGGATCTTCGGAACCGGAAATCAACACGCCCCTTGTGCTCATCAGCCCCGCCTTCAGGAGGAAAGGTGAGTAGCACCGACAGGTGAATATTTCAGCCCGTTGGTGGGTGTTCTCTGAAGAATGCTCTGTATTGAGAGATTTGACTATTGGATTGCCAGAAAACCCTATGTTAGCAAAAAAATTACGTTATCTCATGGTGTTTTGAAGGAAAGGTTGCTCACATTAAGTTCTTCCTCCAGACGTAAAGGTTATGAGACTCTTTGAAGTTCAAGAAAAACATTTTGGATGATCCTCTATCGATTTTTCCGAAGTTTCTCTGAAACTGAAGTTATTTTAAGCCTGGTCTCTATATTTGATGTCTTGGTTCTTCAATAAAGTATTGGCCAGGCCTCCCACAGTTGTTAAGCTGTATCCAATGATTGCCATCTGACAGAAATCTCAGCTAAACAAGGGCTCTAATAGTCCTCTGTCTCCTGCAAAGAAGCTTTACGCACAATAAACATTTTTGTAAATCAGTCCCCAGATGTGGCTGAAGTGATGATTTTTCATCTTAATCTTGCTTTAAATCAGAAAAATAACAACCAGCATATATTCACCCATGCATTTAAGAGAATTAATGTGTTTGTGAGGGACGGGGCACTGAATGTGTTGCTGATGCACCAGTTAATGATGTTATTTACCCTTTGCTGAAAAAGCTCAAGAAAGGGGAAGCTACAGTAGTGCTTCTGTACACAGAACTGAGTCTCACAGAATCAAAGGTCTGTTTCAGCAAACTCTCAGTAGCGATTATGTGTAAGCGCACAATACAGAACAATGCTTAAATCAAAAAACGGTTGCATTTTCCAGATCAGCGTTAATGACTGTGCAAGATATTCTTAGAATGTGCAAAGCTGTGTGCTTCTGTTCATCTGTTTGGGAGTTATTTCAGCCATTCTTGCATTTTAAATCATTTGCAAGAGCAAGTGTAGAAATTATTATTATTTTTTTTAACATCATCAAGACCATATCTCCAGTATCTAAGTACTGATGAAAAGAAAAACATACTGACCCCAAACTTTTCAACAGCAGTGTACAAGGTTAAATGTCTACTGTAAGGCTTTCTAGGTGCTCTTCCTTATATATTCTACATGGACTCATGTAGGAATCACAAATGTCTGTCTGATTGCATTAGAGGAATTCTGCAGTGAGTTGCTGGATAATTTTACGGCCCGAGGGTTTTAAATTACCCACTGATTCATCTCTGTCTTATAATATAAAGCATTGATTCATGTTTCCCCTACTGTTTTATAATGGATTAATTTGCATTGAGTCCAGTGTGTAATTGATTGTGACACACACACAGAGCTGGCGCAGCGGTTGTCGCACTGATAATGTGATGCAGTACACGCAGTGAGCACATGATGCACTCATAACCACGTGTGGATAAACACACACTATACTCAAGCCCCAGAGTGTGAAAATCTATGAGAGATGCTCATTATCCACTTCCACTCATCCCGATATTCTCTCTCTCTCTTTCTCTCCTAAATGAAAGTGTGGAGTGGAGCAGCATCTGTCTACACCAGACTGTCAGGGTGAATGTGATAATTGTTTCTTTTCCTGTCTGATCTATTTTTGTGATCACATCACACACTCAATCACACCAGCTTTCTCTTGCAACACCGGTTTTATTTAAAGATGAGCTCATATCATCACCTGCTGCATGCGGCGCTTTCATGCTTACCTCATCGTCCATCATACCACTGTAGCCGCAGGTAAAACCAGCACCATCCGGAGAGACACGGCAGACTTGTTAATAAGCAGCTACATTTTTACATTTTTTTTTTGGTATACGCATAAGCTTAACCTGAATCATCTATTTCCTTTGGATTTTTGCATTGCGAATTGAGTCTTTGGAACCATTCAGACCAGTGACTCAATTCAGTCAGATTTAACAATTGATTTATGATTTTTGTAAAGGATCTGCATGATTATTTTTGTGCACAGCCAGCGAGGTCAATGCAAAAGCAATGCAACACCATTCAGCTAAATTCTAGATGCATTTTTGAGTTAGCGCAACAGATTCATCAGCACAGCTCAGGAAACACTGACTTAATGAAATGCTGATGTCTGTCTGTGAGGAATATATTATAGATTTAGCGTGTATTAATAATTTTAATTTAGTGTCATCAACTTCCTGCCAGAGATGAAGTAATCAGCATTCATGAATTAATATGTAAATATGTCTTCTTTTTGGGTGTCAGTTTGCAGAATAGTGCTGGAAGGAGAACGAAAGTAGTAGGAAGAGTTTGGGTGGATGGATATAAATTGATGGATGGATAGATGTATGGATGGATGGATAGATGTATATGTAAATGGATGGATGGGTGATAGATGCATATATTTATAGATGGATGGATGGATCGATGTATTGAGGAATAGATGTATGGATCAATGGGTGTATAAATGGATGGATGATAGATGTTTATAAGGATGGATGGATAGATAGATGATTATTCACATTTTGCTGAAATAAGAGAACTGACTTTCTTGTAAAACTCCATAAAGTGCATGTCATGGACAGAAATGTGCTGTAAGTCTTAAAGCCAGTGAGCAGTTAATGACACGTATCTTGCTGTTGTAGTGGGATTTGAGAAGCCGGGCGTCCTGGAGCAGGTGGATCTGACCCCCACCCTCGCACTGGGTCTGGGGTTACCCATCTCCAAGAACAGCGTGGGCCATTTGATTCCAGCAGTGTTTGAGGAGTTATCGCTCAGAGAACAGCTGCGCCTCCTCCAGATCAATGGACACCAGCTCAGCCGCCTCCTACAGGACAGCAATCCCACCTTCCACAAGGGTGAGTTCACATGTGCACTACAAAGCTAATGCACACAACAGCATTCCCACACAGCCATGATCAGTCCACAAACTGTCTGATGCATATTGCGAACACAAATAGCTATTTGATTGGTGACCAGGTGTCAAACAAATGATTGGGCACTTTGTATGTTGGGAAAATGGTCTAAGTGGATACTTATTGGCAAGAATAAACTGCAAAGTGGGTCAAACTTCATAACAATTGTCTAAAGTCAGAGGGTCCCAAGACACATTTGAGATGGATAGTAGTCCAGTCAAGTATACAAGGTTGGACTCTGCCAACTGTAAATGCATCTGGTTGTTTGGACAGATATGTAAACTTTACTCCTACCAGATGGAGCATCGTCAGCAGCAGTGGAAGTTTGGGAGCCTCACAATCCACATGTTAATTAGTAATGATTGATGAGAGACACACGGATGTACCTTAAGCCCTTAATTGCCATGCAAAAAGAGCATTCAACAGGAAATTTTGCTGACTGGCATTAGCGTGAAGAAAATTCCATTATATCTGCATACAATAGCACAGGATTTGTAAGATTCTGTTGTGTGGAGGCCAAGTGTAAATGGAGTGTGCACCAAATCGGATAACAATCTGATCAGTCAAGATGAGTGAAGTGGAAAAAAGGCCCAAGAGATTTTCCACTTCATTATTCAGAAGTTTGTGTCTGACCTGATGCACTCAAATATTGTCTCAAAAAGATGGATAGATGTAAAAATTAATAGGTGGATGGATAATTGGATAAATTATTGGATGGATGCATGTGTAAATGGATGGATGGAAGCACTCAAATATTGTCTCAAAAACAAAATAATTTATGTATTATATTTAATTTATATTTAAAATATTTCTAATGAGTTTTTTTTTAAGTTTAAGGAAAACTAAAACTGAAATAAAAATAAATTAAAGCTAAATTTAAATATTAAAAGCGCTTAACAAAATTACTCAAACTGAACAAAAATTAAAATTGAAAACTGAAAATATATATTAAAAAACTATTTTAATATTAAATATTATTAAATACTATAAATAATACTAAAATAACAGAATCAGGGTCTCTCAGAGTGTGCATCACACTCTCACACTACACTTGGCTATTGTCTAGGGTTTTTGTCTTAAAAAAAGGCAATCTGCGCTATGCTTTAGTTTGCAATCCAGTTTTGTTTTCCTGTTTTGCTGCTTGAGTAACAAGCTCAAGAAACGCTGTCAGTAACCCGACATAAGAGCACGAGATTGAGTACACAGGCCTGACTGGGCCTTTAGAGCACTTTAAATCCATAGAAGTCGAAAAGTTATACCCTTTAGCCCAAACCTAGATGCGTGTTTGTGTGTCTTCTGCTGCCTCTTTAGCAGTTTGGTTCCGTTTTCTCTCAGCAGGATGCCTGGCCTCCCACAAATATCCATCTCTGGCTCATTCACTTCTCACTTCTTGCAGTATTGAGAGTTTTCTGGGTTATGAGGTGTGAGTGTGTTTATTCAGGGTTGGTGTGTTTGATGGTGATGTCTGCTGACATTTTCACAGACTTGTGTTGCTGTTTCTGGAAGAGTATGTCTCGTGTAGCCAGATATTTTGACTGTTGTTATAAATCTGATTCACAGCTTATTCTGGCCTTGAACTGTCCACTTAGAGAGAAAGAGACAGCTTGACTGACATGTAAAGCAACCAGAAAAGTCCTTTGTTTTTATTGCATGTATCTAATTGTTGTTAGCACAATAATAGATTGGCATTCAAATTAATGCACAGCAAAGTCGATCCATGAGCAGCTGCACAGATGCTGATGCATCCCACCGGATGAGGATCCGCTTTTATGGCGGGAAGAAAATGCTAAGCCGGCAGAGTATAGTCCTTTGTTCACAGCTGTTCCATGCTGTTTGAATGAGAACATGTGACTAGATGAAAATGCGATTTGCTTTTATGTAGACACTGTTTATGTATGTGCAGTAAATGTAGCAGTCTACTTTTCAAATGACTTTTTTATTTCATGCATAATTAATTTTTTTATTTACATTTTTTTTAAGAAAAAGCATAGGTTGCTGAAATAAGCCTATGATTTCAGCCAACTAATTTTTTGTATACAATATGCATTGGACATTGAATTCCCCGTCTTTCACCTGCCCTCAAGTGAGGGTTCGAGAGGCGTGTGGAGGTTGAGATCTGATTGATGAGGACAATATATTGCCACTACCCACTTTCGTCCTTCCATTTTCTGAAGGAAATTCAAAAATATGAGATTGTTAGAGGTCATCTCTTCAGTCTCTGTGTGACATACAGGCAGATATTACCTCACTTCACCCATGCCTGCCTTGCTCTCTTTAGAATGTAGAAACTTCTCCATCATGCTTTTGCAGCCTAATGAAGCACTTAATTAAATTGCAGATGAATTATTGTGATTAAGGGGAGAATCATTCATCAGAGTATTTCTAAGCACATTGACCTGAAAGCGAGACGTCTGAGGTTTTCTCCAGATAACACTTTTCCCACGGTAACACGCTGAGAGCTCAAGCTCATGACGGCGCCCCATTAAAATGCAACGTGCAGCAGAACCCTGAGTCACACTAGAGATCTTGACCTGCTTTTCCTTTTGTGTGCATGAAGCAGAGGCAGTGCTCTAAACCTCCATACTAGCATACTGCAATATATAGTAAATACTGTATAGTGCATACATTTGTTTTGAAATCTTGGAAATAAATAGTTAAGTTAGTGTTTTATACTAATTACTTTTCATATATATCTATTTTATATATAACTATACTGCATACTGTAAAAATAGTGATAATATGATAGTGTGCCATTCCAAAACACCCAGAGGTGTCTCCTTTTGTGCCATTTTCAGCACTTTCACCCTGAATGTGTTATGAACTGCATTATTAAGCACAGCCTGAGCGCGCGCACACACACACAGACACACACACAGATCTTTATTAATATAGCTCAGCAAATAAAAGCCCAGATCCACTTAAACCAGAGAGGATCTTCACAGACCATCATCAACACAAATGAGTGATAATTCCACCATCAGAATCGTTCAAAGGTTTATTGAAAGGCATTTTAATGGAAGGTGACACAGGCGATCTGAGGAGGATCTCAGAGAGGCTGATGTGTGAGGAGACATCCGTCATCATGACAAGATGATGCAGAATCCTGTGCTGGCCAGATGCAGAGACACTGACCTGTCGTCCACACACATATATGCGCGCGCACACACACACACACACACACACACACATATGTGCACACACGGGTCCTGCTGTGTGCTGCCGTTTGTTTGAAGAGCTCTACTGATTTTCCGTCTGTTTTGTGTGTGTGTGTCAGCACAAGTCCGAGCTGTTTCTGATACACACACAAAACGGTGAGGCTCAAATGTGTGTGTGAGAGAGATGGAGTTGTAACATTAGAACTATCTATCGATCTGTCTGTCATTCTGTCAGTCATTCTGTCTGTCATTCTGTTGTTATATCTATCCATCTAACTATCTGGCATTCTTTCTATCTATCTGTTATTCTTTCTAACCATCTATTATTATTCTGTCTGTCGTTCCATCTCTCCATACATCTATCCATTGATCATTTTGTCTATCATTCTGTCTATTAATTTGTCTATTGTTCTGTCATTCTGTTTCTGGTTCTGTTCTGTCTATTCCTCTGTCATTATGTCTGTCGTTCTGTCATTCTATCTATCGTTCTGTAATTCTCTTTCGTTCTCTTGTTATGTCTATCATTCCGTCTTTCTGTCTGTTGTTATTGTTCTTTCTGTCGTTCTGTCTATCCATCGTTCTGTCTGTTGTTCTGTCATTCTGTCTCGTTCTGTGTTCTGTCTGTCATTCTGTCTATCCATCTGATGTTCTGTCTCTCTATCTGTCTGTCTCAGCATCTGCCCATCTATCCATCCATGTCTCTGACTTTTTGTCTGTCTGCTTCTCTCTCCGTTCTCTTTCCTTGTTTTCTTTCTCATTTCCAGCTGTATATATTCATGAATAATCCCCATTATTCCATGAGCAGGAGAGGCTCATCCCAGCGGACGCTCCGTTTGGCTTTTCTCTAACTCTCCTGCTCTGTGATCAATGCTGTGAATTAAACTTTCATTATTAAGCAGACTCCGGTGTGTCTAAGAGATGACGGACCATTTACGAAGAATCATCCTCACAGGCCAAGGTTTCTCATTGCTGTAACGCCATTATATCTCGCAGCTCTAATATGCATGACTTTCAGTTGATACTGTGGAAATAACACTATGTTTCACTGTCATAACAGTTGACTTGGATTCATGAGCTAATTCAGCATAATCATATAATTGATTAATCACAGCCCCAGTTATTTGTGTTATGACAATAGATGAACGTTCCAGCAAAGTGAATTCATTCTTAAGAGAATGGATTCATGTGAAAATGCCTCTAATGTTCTGTTTTACCCTCTAACGCTCGGTAATAGTCCCATTCATCACTTTTTCTCTGGGTTAATATGATCTCCATCAAGCAAATCACATCTCGGTTTATCACCTTTCTGTCTTTGGGGTTCACACAGACACCGATTAAGATGCTACATAGACGCTCGGGAAAGAAATATTAAAGATTCACAGGTTTCACATGGCCTGGAGGAATGTGTGGCTTTACATACCATCTGTCCTAGAAGGGTCCATAGACCCTCGTAATTGGCCATTTGGTTAGGTGATGGGGAGTTCGATATTATTTGTTAAATATAACAAAAAGTTGTGTGTCTGATTGGTCCAAATGCTACAGTAGCATGCATGATTATAAATCATATTTGGGATGCACTGATCATGCATACTACTAAGGACATATAGTATATAAACCAAAATCATAATAAGTGAAATAGTTAAACTATTTACTAAATCATAATAAGTTAAGTTAAACAGTGCCCTCCACTAATATTGGCACCCTTGGTAAATATGAGCAAAGGTGGCTGTGAAAATAAATCGTCTTTTTGATATTTAATTTTAAAAAATGCACAAAATTCTAACCTATCATTGAAGTAAAACAATTGAAAGTGGGGGGAAACTCACATTATGAAATACATGTTTTTCTCCAATGCATGTTGGCCATAATTATTGGCACCCCTAGAAATTATTATGAGTAAAATATCTAGTATATTCCCATTCGTATTTACAATATCTAGTATATTCCCATTCATATTTACATTTTTGGCACACCAGAGTGACTAGGATCATGAAATTGTCCAGCCATGACTTCAAAAAAATTCAGGGCACTGTATATAGTTTGCCATATGTGCTCATATGGGGTTATCTGGCTGATTTTTGCATGCAGTAAACATTATGAACAACCCCATTGCTCTACAGATTAAGAGTTCATGTGCAACTTTTTCAGTTGCCATGGCAGTTTCAATTAATATTGAATTTTAGGGTAATTCATTTAGCATCCATTAGTTATTTAGCATCCATTAGTGCCTTAAGTTAATTTGTCTAGTAATTTAAAGTAATTCATTGTTCATCCAAACAGTTTGCAAGAGGCTTATTGTATAAAGATGTCATTTTAAGTGCATGCTCTTAGTATGTTATACAAGTATGCAAATTGCAATGCAGCCTGTATGCATTCATGGACATTAATTGCACATCAATTTGGGCTGAGAATTTACCCTGCAAAAGATCATTTAAAGTCATTATTTTGTTAAATGAGAAAAGCATTGCATACACATTGCAAAAAAAAAAAAAAGTAAGTTTAGAAAGAAATATTTTGACTCGGACACATTTCAGAAAGCCGTTTGTGTCACATACTTGGGTCAAGTTTGTTTCCCGTTGTGTGCGTGTCATTCTTCACAGCATCAGCTCTGTGGAGAATCAGAGCTCAGAGGTGGGGAGAGACACGTTTAGAAAGAGAGAGGCACATAGCGAGACGGAGGTGTCCTGTAGTGAAGTGTCTGGGTGGTATGAGGCAGACGTGCCTGTTAGCTCACTCTGACATCCTGCTGTGAAGGCCCTCAGTGTCTGTCTGCTTTAAAACACAGCCAGCAGACACCTGATTCTTATGCAACAGCTTCCTCATGGTGTCTTCATAACACTGTGGCTCTATTTCAAAACCTAGTGAGCATTTTAAGGCATCATATGTGAAGACTGTTCTGAAGATAAATAATATGTCATCTAAAACGCCTTCTTATGGCCAGCATCGCATTTATTCTTTGGCGAGAAGGCAATCCCGCAATGCATTGCAGCAAGCTCAGCAAAAAAAAAAAGTGTTTTTTTTCTTACTGATTTTACTGATTATTAAAGGCTTGCTAAATAAAAGCTTGCTAAATATATATATTTTTTTGCTATTAATTGTTTTAATTTAATATGGTATTTTTTTCTCGTTGTTTTTGCTGCTTACAGGTTTGCTAAATAATATCTAAAGCAATATTGTAATTGTAAGGATTTTTATTAGAGGTTTTAGAAATAAATTTTATTAAATTTTTTGTTAAAAAAAAAAAAAAAAAAGCCTTGCTATGTATGTATATTGTGTTAGACTAACCGGGACTTGTCACAGCACTTACATATCGTTGCTCTTTTGTTGGTTTGATTGCTTTTATTGTCTTTTGTTAGTCACTTTGGATAAAAAGCATCTGCTAAATGACTAAATGTAAATCAGTCGCTTACGAGGTTCCAATTCGGTTAGCATAGGCAAGGCAGATAACTAAGTTAACAGCATTCTCTCTCTTGTGTTCTGGTTTAATCTCTGACATTGTTCATGTCTGTTCAATTCTTCCTGTACTTTCCCCCATCTCTCTCTCTGTCACAGAGGATGGTTACGAGCAGTTTCGCGTGGCGGAGAAATCTCACGGAAGCTGGATGAAGCTCTATTTGGATGGAAACACGTCAGAGGTTCTGAGTAACATGGGCAAGAAGGTTCTCAAACAGTATCTGGAGGCCCTGAAGGCCATGAGTTCAGCTCTGAGCAAACAGCTGGGCAAATACGACATGTACTCCATGATCATGGGCATGATCTTCATACTGCAGGTGAGATCCGTTTAAACCTGAAGATGCCACATTTCATTTCATGTGAATGAAAACGAGGCTGTAATTGCATTACTCACAGTCTTGTTTTTGTTCACAAAGTATGCCGTCTACACAAACAAATCTTTATTCAAGGTTCTGGCTGTAAAGGTCAGTCTGATTCACTCTTAAAGTATTTCACATTTTTAACAGGCAGGTTTTGCTTCAGCTATCGTAATTTCACATCTATATTCAGGCAGGTTTTGGCAGATCCTCATCAGATTCGAACATGTGCTCCTCCACGACTATCACTTGCAGTCATAGCTGAAACTAAAGCATTTAACACTTCATAAAACTCATTTCCTGGTGCAGCGTGAATTTGGAAGGTGTATGTTATGTGTCACTAAATTACACGTGAAAGCAGTTTTAACTAGTGATAAGAAAATTAATTATTTAGCAAGTTAAATCTCTTTTAGAATCTACTGGCAGTCTTTTCCAGAGACAATGCATAGTTTATTTTTCCAATATTTTCCCGGGAAATAAATTGGTAAAATAAACATATTTAAAATACATACAATGTATGTAATACAGTGTAAAATAAATTGTATGTAGAAACTGCAGTGTTCATTCATACATAAAATTATGTTGGATTATCTTGAAATGCTGCGTTTTCTCAATATTTTGTTTAATCAAAAATACAGTAAAAACAGTAATAATGTGAAATGTTATTACAATTTCAAATAGCTGTTTTATATTTGGATATATTTTAAAATGTAATTTATTCCTGTGATGCAAAGCTGAATTTTCACTGTCATTACTCCAATCTTCAGCATCACATGATCCTTCCGAAATCCATCTATTATGCTGGTTTTCTGCTCAAGAAACTTTTCTGATTATTATCAATGTTGATATTGTGGAAACTGTGATTTTATGATGAACAGAAACCATGGTTCAGTTTTTTTCAGGATTATTTAATGAATAGAAAGTTCAAAAGAACAGCATTTATTTGAAATCGAAATCTTTTGTAACAATTTAAATGTCTTTACTGATGATTTAATGTCTCCATGTTACATAAAAGTATTGATTTCTTTCAAAACAAAAATCTTCCTGGCTCAAAACATTTGAATGGTACTGTACGTTTCATTTGCCATCATTCATTCATTCAAATACATTATATATTTATATTGCCATTATATCACCCATTAGCCACCAGTTCTCTCAATATCACCATTTGCCATTGAAAGTATATGAGTACAACTAGTTTTAGACTATAGCTAAAGATTTGTGGATAAATCTGGAATTTAGCTGCTGATCTTAAATCCTAAAATGAGTTGTAAATGGATTAAACTGATTTAAAAGCGGGTGTAAAGAGTTTAATGGTTTACTGCTTTGTGTTTGTTGTTTAGTGTGATGTCTGCCTTCGTCATTCTGTTTTAATTCTGCTCTATTTAGGAGAAACTATAAACCTTCTAAAGAATAGATGCGTGACCCTTAAGAAAACAGTAGAGGTCATTTCACTCAAGATTACAGTGAAATAAACAAGAAGTTTTGTGTGAAACCTATTTCTAGAACTTACTGTAACGTAGTTTGTAGATCGTGAAGGAGGTGGGAACCGGCAGACATTTAAACAAACTTTATATATATATAACTTATATATATAACTTATATATACATAAATGGATTTTGGGATTCTGACTGTGACAGCACTGTGGTACACAACCGCACCTTACAGCTTCTATATTTCTATTTCATTCTTTTTCTTCCGTCGACTGATAACAAGGCTAATGGCAGTCAGACGTGAGTTGAGAGTGGAGTTCGGAGGTCCTACAGTGGCGTGAAGGAGAATCAATGTCTGAGTTTGAAGGACTGCGGCCCCTCGTCTCATTTACACCCCTTACCCTGCCAACTCATTATGATCTTAATTAGTCTCTCTCTTCTCTCTAATTAACAATAAAGAGCTCGTCAACCCTCACGGCAGAGTTCAGATCCAGCCTGGCGCGGGTTGCTGGAGAAGCAGGATTCACTCCTTGAGCCTTTCAGTTTAGGATTTGGGTTTCCACTGTTTTCTTATTTCCTCAAGTCAACATGGAATCAAAACTGACCCTATTTGCTTTCCTAATACAAGTTACCGGCCTTTTTGTGTATGTTTCATCAGTACAGATTATTCCTGTAAAGATGTTTGTTTAATTTATTTCATAATCTTTCATTATTGTGTGTTAAACTGCTTTCCTTTTTTGGGAAACGATGTTAACCAGTAGCTATTAGACCCAGTTTTAAGCTACTAAAATACCTCGACATGTTCTGGAAGATGAATCTGACCTTTAACTTCCACATCCCAATCAAAAATCATCTTCTCAAAAATGGGTTTCACTAAAAGTCTGTGCTTTCATTTAGAAATGCATCACATTACAGAACTAAAATAGAAAATAAAATGAAAATGCGGTTACATATTTATTTAAAGAGGCCATATGCTATTCTTTTTGTACACAATTAACAAATTAATTTCTTCTATAGTACAACTTCAAAAGTCTGGGGTCAGTAAGATTATTATTATTATTTTTTTTAATTTAATTAAATTTTTTAAAAAGAAATTGATATTTTTATTCAGCAAGGATGCATTAAATTGATCAAAAGTGACAGTGAAGACATTTACAATGTTACAAAAGATTTGTTTCAAATAAATTCTCTACTTCTGAACTATCTTTTCATCGTAAAATCACAGTCTCCAAAAAAAATATGAAGCAGCACAACTGTTTTCAACATTGATAATAATCATAAATGTTTCTTGAGCAGCAAAAACCAATCATATTAGAATGATTTCTGAAGGATCATGTGACACTGGAGTAATGATACTGAAAATACAGTTTTGCTATCACAGGAATAAATTACATTTAGACATTTTTTCATTTAAAACAGTTACATTTAAATTAAATTAATGAACACATGGTTGTGACTAAATACTAGCCTTGAGAGAAAGTTTTGCTGTTTGAAACATTCACCTTTTTTTTAACCTCTTTTCAAAGCTAGGTTGTGCGGTTTGTATATGGTTAGAGGACTGTGGTGCAACAAACTCAACACTGCAAGCACATAATTCAGCTACTCTTTTGCGGTGTAGACGTGGTATTAGACTGTCAGCACACTAAAACCCTCTCTGAGAGGATGCATCTCTAAATTCATCCCTTTAAAGCTGCGCTGCTAAAGCCATCAAAGCAGCGCTTTTGAAACAAATTCACCACCTTCAAGAATAAACACAATTACTGTCAGACTTCAAATCACCTGTCGTGAGTGATGCTCCCGTTATTATGCACAATCCACAGCTCTCAGTTTATTTACAAAGACTATGATAGTTCGGTGCAATAGAAGATTATAGTTATTTATTTGTTGTAGTTATTTAGCCTGTTTATTTGTTCAGTATCTGTCAGATGCCCTATTTAATGTGCAGTTGACGTCTGCTGTTCAAAAGTTTGAGGTTAGTACATTTTAGTTTTTGCTTTGATTTAATTATTTTTTTCAAATAAATGCTGTTCTTTTGAACTTTCGTGAATCAAAGAATCCTGAAAAAAATTTAACACATTTCCACAAAAATATTAGTTTTTTATATTCAAGCAGAAAATTCTGGTTTGTACGGAGCCCCTAAAGGGACCTTTGCAAAAATAAAAAATACACTGATTTTTTCTCGAATGTTTCTCGTGCGCACGCAAAAGTTTCTTGTGAGCACGCAAAATGTTTCTCGAATGTTTCCCGTTCGCACGCAAAATGTTTCTCGAATGTTTCTCGTGCGCATGCGAAAGTTTCATGAACACGCAAAATATTTCTCGTGCACACGCAAAATGTTTCTCGAATGTTTCTCGTGTGCACGCAAAAGTTTCTTGTGCACACGCAAAATGTTTCTCGAATGTTTCTCGTGCGCACGTGAAAGTTTCATGAGCACGCAAAATGTTTCTCGAATGTTTCTCGTGCGCACGCAAAAGTTTCTCGTGCACACGCAAAATGTTTCTCGAATGTTTCTCGTGCGCACGTGAAAGTTTCATGAGCACGCAAAATGTTTCTTGAATGTTTCTCGTGCGCACGCAAAAGTTTCTCGTGCACACGCAAAATGTTTCTCGAATGTTTCTCGTGCGCACGTGAAAGTTTCATGAGCACGCAAAATGTTTCTTGAATGTTTCTCGAATGTTTCTCGTGCGCACGCGAAAGTTTCATGAGCACGCAAAATGTTTCTCGAATGTTTCTCGTGCGCACGCAAAAGTTTCTCGTGCACACGCAAAATGTTTCTCGAATGTTTCTCGTGCGCACGTGAAAGTTTCATGAGCACGCAAGCTCAAAATTTTTCTTGAATTTTTCTCGAATGTTTCTCGTGCGCACGCGAAAGTTTCATGAGCACGCAAAATGTTTCTCGAATGTTTCTCGTGCGCACGCGAAAGTTTCTCGTGAGCACGCAAAATTTTTCTCAAATTTTTCTCGTGCGCACGCGAAACTTTCTCGTGAGCTCGCAAAATGTTTCTCGAATGTTTCTTGTGCGCACGCAAAAGTTTCTCGAATGTTTCTCATGCGCATGCAAAAGTTTCTCGAGAGCACACAAAATGTTTCTCAAATTTTTCTCGTGCGCATGCAAAATGTTTCTCGTGCACACGCAAAAGTTTCTCGTGAGCACGCAAAATGTTTCTCAAATTTTTCTCGTGAGGACACAAAATGTTTCTCGAATTTTTCTCGTGCGCACGCAAAAGTTTCTCGTGAGCACGCAAAGTTTTTCTCAAATGTTTCTCGTGCGCACGCAAAAGTTTCTCGTGCACATGCAAAATGTTTCTCGTGCGCACGTGAAAGTTTCATGAGCACGCAAAATGTTTCTCGAATGTTTCTCGTGCGCACGCGAAAGTTTCTCGTGAGCACGCAAAATTTTTCTCGAATGTTTCTCGTGCGCACGCGAAAGTTTCTCGTGAGCACGCAAAATTTTTCTAAAATTTTTCTCGTGCGCACGCGAAACTTTCTCGTGAGCACGCAAAATGTTTCTCGAATGTTTCTTGTGC